TTAATTTCCAGCAGCAATGCAATGAACAACATGCAGTCTTTTTTTGCTCCTTCTACAGATCGCTCATGTAAAACAGGAATATACTATGCATTATTTCAAGCAGCATCACAAGATGTTACTGCCCATTTATATTTATCTTGGCCCGATATTTTCATAAGAAGTTCACAAGCTATAACTCAGCACTGCTGTGATTTAGTGCTCCACCTATGTGGCTATTCACAACTGATAATTCACTAGATGCAAGAAATAACATTGTTAACAAGGGCCAGGGACTTACCAGTTGCTCGTGTCCCCAACATGCGTCGATCAAAGACTCTGACAGCTGAATCTGAGCACCCAACAGCTAAGTAGTATGCGGTCAGTGGATTCACAGATATTGAAGTGATGGCACGGTGACAGTTAATAAGGACATCCTATAAAACATAAAGAAAACTTTACAAATTCAAAGTTCTAGCTTAAAAAATCTCTCCAGTTCAGTCAGCTTTTGTTCAAGTGCAGACATTGCAGCCAATACAAAATATACAGGTGGCTCAAGCTACACTCAAATCAATGATGTTGTAATGCTTAATTTTAATTATAGAAAGATACAATGAAAAGTTATAATGTACTAAATTATAGACAAAGCTGTTGTGTATCACACTAGAACATGCCTAAACAAAGAACATCTTTCTTCCAAATCTGTGCACTGCCACATAATATCAGGTTACATAAAAAATGCAGACAAATGATTTACAGTGAGGATTGCTCAGCAAGCAGTAAAATACCCTGATGCAAGTGTCAATGGACAATTTAAAATTATAGTAAGAGTAAATTTGATAAATGAGTGAATTTTATAAATGACAAGTGCTCCCTGAATCGCACCTCTGGTTGCCTGAAGATTCAACTTTGAGTTATGGTACTGGAACTTAACTGTAACACCAATCAACATGCATAACCGTGTCGAAAGTGCCGCAGGATTCCACATTTTTCTATGCATCCATCTTCCTGCCGTTACAAGTTTCAACACATAGCTGCAATCAAGTGTATTTTGGTCCTCTGTGGAGCATAAGTAAGTAACAAAATTTTGCTTGCTTTAACATCATATATTTGCAAGAACCACAATAAGATTTTTTTTCTGCCAGCTGTTCCTTAGTTGATAGGCTTTTAATAATGTTGTCACTGAGAAATGGCTAAATGGCATGCAAGCCAGATTGAAAGGCAACAGATCAGCAACACTGCCTTGGTTAAAGATGTGTTGCTCCGAACTGCTCCAACAGTCTACAAATACAGAAAGGACCACACTTTGCAGCTGCTGAAGGTCTCAAAGCCATTGGCTTACAAGAATATTTAAACTGGACAAACATGAATAAGTATAGTCTTCAAGTGAGCAACAGTGGCCAAATAGGGTATGTCTCTGCAGCTAACATTGTGACAAGGCAGAGCCCAGAAAGACCGGCTTCCTCGTCAAATGCTCTGTTTTAGCATTGTCAGCAGTAAGTCGCTGTTGAATCAAAAATGTTTCTATGCAATCACTTGGCAGGGGTAGCAATCTACAAATGACAAAGAATAAACATATCAGATGACGTCTTCCATGACACTAACCTCAGAACAGTCGTCGGCGGAGCAGCTGGTTTTCGTGCGCAAGTCAAACCAGCGCACCGTGCCATCTTCACCGCACGAGAGAAAGCTGTGTGGGTCGTTTGGAACCGTAGCAATCTCATACGCTGTACCAAAATGGCAGTTGAACAAGTTTCGCAGGCTCGTCTCGGGGCGCTCCACGTCCGAGAAAAGTATGGCGCCATCTCCTGAACAGGAAACCACCTGAAACAAAAGAGTACAACCACGTTGAACTTCTTATGACGCACATTATGGTCGGCTGTCTATAGATGCATGAAAATTAAATAATATGATGCTAAGGTTCTGGAGACCAAATGTAAAACAAATGAAAATGTTGGAACATATCATGGTGTATATTACTGTAATTAACTAACTATACAGTAAACAATAACCTAATGATTCAAAAGCCATTCACGCTATATTTAGTGATAAACCAAACTCAATAACTGACTCAAATTGCATGCGACAGTTATCTACATTTAAAAAAAGGTAAAAAAGATATTTGGCTATTCGTGGTGAGATACCTCACATCCAGTATCTCGTTAAACACGGTGCCGACTTCGTCAAGGCAATCGCGCGTAGCGAAGTACTTCAACCAGAAGTTGTATGAAGGAACTTTAGACAACAAGAATGCTTAATTTATTATTATACTAGTGTTTGTGCTCTCTTCCTTGCCAATAGTAGACAGATGTGTCAAAAGTTGCTTCATATCCCCGAATGAGGAGCCATGTCACAAAGAGCCATTATATTTATCATTTTGCTGAAGATCAAGCCAGATTTCTTACCCGACTGATTAACAAACAATCAATGACCGTACTCACCAAACGATCTCCAGAGCTTGGAAGGAACTTGGCACTGAAGATGTTTGCTGTGTGGCCAGTCCTAATATGTGCAAGGAGCTGCGTGTACAGTGGAAAACTCATTCAGCTATCATCACAAACATTACTTATCAAGTCTAATCCTGCACCGATATGACGTACCACATGGGTGTGTGCATTTGTGATGCAAAGATGCTGATCGTCGGAGCCAGACAGCAGATAAGTACCCGCATCGTTCCAGCATATGGTATTCACCTGCACAGCACGATTTTCAGAAACGAAGCAAGGAATGCCAAAACATTTGCAAGCATTCTGTAATACATTTACTGTAAGACTACTTTTTAAGGTATCGATTCCTCTGCATCGCCACTGAAGTAAAGGTAACGCTTGCAATCAATCAGAGGCAGCAAAAATTTTTTGGCTGCGTTACTTTTTTGCAGAGATATTGTTTTCACAGAAAAAGACGCCCTCACAGCTAAACACATGGAGTAACCACTGTGACCCACCAATAACAATCCTATGGATAACATCCTCAATGAAGGAAAAAGGCATTACGAGTGAAGTAAGATGTGCTGCAATAACTGCTTGTAAGTTTAACGCGTGTTGCATGCGTCTTAAGACACAATTCAAGTTAAAATACAGTACTTATTTAGCTTTTTACACAGGGGAAGACTGAACTGCAAAGCTTACGGCAGCTGTAAAGATCTGCATTAGCTAACATTTGTCGTGATGGCTTTCATACGCAGATAAATTCATTCCGAGTCAGATCTAGCAGCAAGGTTACTTGGGCAGCTTGTGTCTCAAACTATGTCCCAGCAATGATTCAGTAGACGTGCAACCATAGCTAGGTAGAAATGGGCTTTTGAGAATGAATGTTGTCCACTTAAATGACGAGTTTAATGTTCGCTGTGTCAATGCATCAGTTTAGTTTCATTCTGTGCACTGCACAGCATTGTTACAAACAGATTGAACAAACAACTGTAATCATCCAAATATTGCAGTGCAACTCACATTAACAGCACAGAACATGAAAGTGAGAAGCCATTTGTACATATACATTTCGTAAGGTAAAAAAGAACTTATTCACATTTAACGGGAGCCAGAAAGAGTCGCACATACTATTATTATGCAAATAGTTGCATTAAAGCCATGAGCAAACAACTCGAGAAAAAATACATGACAAGCTATGATATACAGATTGTACCAGCCATAGCGATTTCACATAAACAGTGCCGTGTACATGTCATAAAAAATGTGTGCGAATTATGTATGTAAAGGCATGCACGTGAGTGCCTCAAATAAGCAGCACATGCAATATTAGACAATGGATGTCTGCGACACAGTGTGTATGGCATTTATTTAAGGAATTTGGCCCAGTAGGCATTGCGCACACCGTTACTATTACGACAGCTCTGGGCGAACGCATAGCTTATAGTTTAATTCGAGCTCTGAGCACCCATAACGATGTGTAAGGTCCATATACGCGACATATAAATGTAATGCTAATTATCGCAGGCGCATGCAATGTAAATGTCACACGTGCAACGCTGAAGCCCATACAGTCGTAAGCGCTACATCTCTGCGCAACAGTGAAATAAAAGGAGAGAGGAGCCAACAAAAGAGGCATATGCACGCCGCACTTACACAGCCGTTGTGCACAGGAAGTTTGACTTCGAGTCGTAGTTTTTGTACGAAGGACAAGCTGCCTGGAAAAAGATAAAATGGCAGGGACGAATAGCAAGAAATGTTAAAATATAGGAAACCATCGCGGCAGATCGCTGCAGCTAGAGCTGTAAATTATTGGGCGAGGTTTATTTTTAGAGACGCGCCTTGAGACGCACAATCGTGCGCTCTGTTTGCGGCCTCCAAAGGTCCTGCCACAACACTATAGCATTTCACGTCATCAACGCCGAAATAAACGCCCGGTGCACGCACCTTTCGCAGCGTCAAATAGCTGGTACGGTGTCGAGTACCCGTAGTGGAAACCTTCGCTTTTCCAAAATAGGCCTTTTCTATTGAACATCGCGATGCGTACGGTCGTTACCTCCGTCGAGAAACAATCATTTCACTAGGACAATTACCGCAGGCGTGCGCAGAGAGGTGTACTGACGCGCGGCTAGGATATCAACAAACGGATCATTGCCTCTTGTTCAACTCCACCGACCAGTTTTCTGCTTCGTATGGCCACAACAGCAGAGCGGGCGAAGTGATCAGCCAGCGACGCTAGCAACGCTAGGCTCACGTAAACGCCGCTAAAATCGTCGAAAAGTGGTCCAGTAACGTTAACCGTTGGGTTAACTGCGTCGTTACGAGTTGTTGCGACGACGAGAGGCCGTTTGCTCAACTTGCAGCTCTAAATAACCATCGCACCATTAAATGACAATTTCGATTTCGGTTTCGCCTTAGTGTGACTGGCCGCCTGTCGGCATTTCTTAGAAGTTCATCTATCCGCGCATAGCCTCCTATATTATAGAGGAGGCTATATCCGCGCATAGCCTCCTATATTATAGAGGAGTTCATCTATCCGCGCATAGCCTCCTATATTATAGAGGAGGCTATATAGTTATAGAGGAGGCTATGATCCGCGAAACATTCAAGTGGACGAGAAAACTTGGCGCATCTTGCGATCTTGAACAACTCAGAGCGCCGTCGGCGCCGTTCCCACGACAGTTTGTTTTGGAGTTATGTTTAGGTGTTCTGTGGCCTAGTTCTTGTAGCTGATGAACTTAGCACTGCCCGCTTTACTATGAACACACTTGTCAGCATTGTAATTGCGGCCTTCGCTGCGGCTTTTGCGATTTTTCACACTTATCCTGCTCCGCCGAAATCGCCCCTACTTTACCAGTGGGAAAAGGAAGACGGTGGTTCGTACTTCAAGTTCCAAGACTATGACATATTTTTCAAAGGCAAGTTTCGTTGTTATGTTGTCTCGCGAAAGCGCGGAAACCGTTGTAGTTCAGTTCGCACCACCCTTTTTACAGAGTCCATGAACCGACAACCCCACCCACAGGATTCATTTAATTGAGCTTGTTGAAGTGTGTTATACCGCTGCCGTCCACTTTTATCGTTGGAGATTGCCTCCTTGCCGCAGTTTCCGCAAAATGCGTGAGTTACAATCGGAAATTTTGATTCCGATCGGAAATGCACCGTGTGACATGCGTAACCACAATGAACTCCACCAGCTCACTAATTATTTCTTAATTGTCGCGAAAAGCGCAGAGCAAAATGAGTACTCACGTTTTGCTTGCTCACACTTTGGAATTATATATATATATATATATATATATATATATATATATATATATATATATATATATATATATATATATATATATATAGAGAGAGAGAGAGAGAGAGAGAGAGAGAGAGAATCGTGCTCGCAGCCGGCACTCTGGGACTACTGTAACCTTTATCGGAAACAACTGTCTTCTCGTGCGCAAGACCTCCTATTTATACTTATATTTTGTCTGTACGCAAGTGCGACAGGTGAATCTCGCTTGTGTGCTGTCTACAGCCTTTTCTTTATTTCTTAATTGTGAGCTTCTGCAACTTGTCTCCTTACAGATGTCAAGGGCACTGCAGAAAACAAGGACATTTTACTCTGTCTCCATGGCTTTCCAACTTCTAGCTTCGACTATTACTTGGTCCTGCCATCACTGCGAAAAATATTTGGCAGGATTGTGCTGTTTGATTTTCTGGGACTGGGCTACAGCGATAAGCCGGCAAGTATATATTCTCATCTATGAATAGTTACGTGAACCGAAGAATACATCTGCGACAAATCCCTAAAAGCTAGTTGAAAAGTTTGCCGTTCTGTGCTGTGTACGCTGAACCTATCAACTATACGGAAAGGGCTTTTTGTGCGACTACCTTGCTATTCATACATAAAGCTACATCATAACTATGTCACACTCAACACATTCCTCACTGAATGCCGTGTCTGTAATTAATGCTTAATCTGCTTTATTCCGCAGTAAGATATGAGAATATCCTAGCATTACTTATATTTTACTGCAATTTACTATAATTATGAGTGCAGTGGAAGAATAGTATTGAAGTAATTGTGATAATCATTCATTTTCAAATAGCAACACTCACCTGGGGTTAATTTCACTCTTAATTTGTATAAGCAATACCAAAATCTTCACACCAGGTTTATTGCAAAACACATGGGAAACACTACGCTCAGCATTCAAGACAGCCATAGTTGTTTTCAAATGTGCATTGTAGTGTATGCTGACGACCTCACAGCTTGTTCATGCGTGTACTTGTACACACTGCAGCAATTAAATTATGCTTGCCTACCTATGCTTTTATGTGTAAAGAAAAATTAACAGAAAGGCTACTTCTTTGCCTCAAAGTTCCAGTTGCTGTGTAATTTTCAAAATTTGCTTATCATTAATTTTCAACATGTGAGCAAGAGATTTATGAAACTAGTGGCTCCTGTAGCGTAATCTTAATGTACAAGTGGACCAGTATACCTGCACTTTGTTCCACTACATCAGGAAATTTGAAGGAATGTGACTTTGGTATGTTTCTGACAAAAGCAGCAGCTCATAGCATAATTTTCATGTACCATGGGACCAGTATAGTATAGAGCCGTAATTTAGCACTAGTGGTTACCAAAGAGAAATCTAGTGTTAACCACTCTGTTATTTTCGATACAAATGTAAAACATACTGCTATAGCTAGCAATACATTTTTGCTAGTAAAGTGAATTATTCACAAGTAAAAATTATAGCAGTGTTAATTTTGTTATGTGCAGCTACTGCAAAATGTTTTATTAATGATTTCAGAGGTTTCACACTTACTCCATCTTTGAACAAGCCAACATTACTGAAGCCCTTGTCAAGAAGTTGGGCTTGAACAAGGTGCATGTGCTAGCACATGATATAGGAGATACAGTGGCTCAGGAACTTCTTGCCAGGCAGCAGTAAGATTCACTTTTGATTGTCAAGTTTTGCAAAGTGCTACCCGTGACTATTGTACTGTGTCTTGCGAAGTGCTATCAGTAACAATTGCAGTGTGTTTTGCGCAAGTACAGACATTCTTTGAAACTTCAAAATTTATTATCATAATCCTTGGGATATTTCTTTCCATTTCTCTCCTTATTTCAAACCCTGCAGTTCTAGCTTTTCTACACATTTAGGTTGCTGCTTTATGTTACTCTTGTTAGTAAACCTTCCACCTGGTTGATAACTGTTAGTAACATAAATGTTTGGGCTAGTTTCAGTATGATGTATTGTTATCAGGTGTGCTGCTGTAATTGTACTCATGTTCAATATTCATTTTTTCATCCTGTGGAAGGTGGCAGTAATATCTACAAGCTGCACTGTTCTTATGCAGCCTATTGAATAAACAACATCATCTACATAGGTCATTTTGTGTATTAGCCATTCATAAGTGAACCGCTGACCTAAGTAAGCTGCGTGCTAGACAGACATGCTCGGTGCAAACGCTATTGCCTGCTGATACACCTAAGGTTAAATATGCTCGATGTTAAACCATGAATGTGATTCACTTTTAAGATATTCGTGCTTTTCTCTATTTAATGTACCAGAAGTGAAGATGGTGCCTTCAGCTAAGTGTTACTATATATCTAGTATATATAGTATATCTGTGCATCTGTCTTGAGTTATCACGATACGTACTGTTTCTTTCCAGGGAAGGTGTCCTTACATTCGAAATTGCAACTTTGTGTATGATGAATGGTGGTATGTTTTTTGTACTTTCGCCTTTTTTAAGTTTTTGCAAATGCATGAACTGTGGGGACTTGGATGTTGTGTGACAGCGTCCTTTATTTCCTTGCTTAGGCATTTTGCCCCAGCATCATCACCCAAGATGGTCTCAAAAGGTATAGTCTTAAAATGTTATGATAACCGACTTCTCTCAGCATTTGCAGTGTCTTGCAGATCTTGAGGATGCCAGTGATTGGTGTTGTGGCTTCAAGGTTCATGAACCACCTGGTCTTCAGGATGGCGTAAGCTTCGTTTTTTGTACATTGCTAGAGTCTCAAAGTTTCACTGTTGTAGAAGCCACAAGTGTATGGACTGTCAAAACATTATTGTGTTAACTTTTTTTCAATAGGTTGGCTGATGTGTTTGGTCCCAACACAAAACCGACGGCTACGGACATTCACAATTACTGGCATTTAGCTAGAGTGAAAGACGGCTACCGGGTGTTTGGCTTGTAAGTAATACCTGCAGAACTAGTTTTACTTCAAGTTTATGATAGGAAACTTAAGAAGATGGAAACTATGTGTATGAAGCAGTTAAATTTAACCATTTAACGAGAATTAGAGGTTGTACTTAAAGCAGTACTCTCTACATACAAGCTGTCCTCTAAATGGATGCCATCTGGAATTTTCGTTAACTGATGGCTGCTATGTTTTACATAATGAAGGCTTGTTGCATGCACTTGTTGACATTGATGGTGATTATATGGGGTGTTTGAGAATGCCAAAGCAAGCGATAGCCCAAGAGTGGTAAGAAATTACCTCTGAGGTTAGTCATTGCAGTGGAAGAAATTTGGTACAGAGTGTACTAACCACCAGCATGTATCCTGTTTCTGAGTATGTCAGTGATCTGCTGATTATAACAAATGTTCTCTATTTTTCAACATGTTCTTGTATGTGAACTACCATATTCATTATTCTTCATTTTAAGCTTGAATATTTTTATGTGGTCAATGCCTATTCTTTTTGACACTAGTGGGCCAAGACCTGGCCTCAAAGTTTCACATTATGCATAAGCAATTTGTCTTTTTGTTTAGGCTTCTCTCTTACATTGATGAAAGGTTCGAAAATGAAGAGAGGTGGGTCAGAGCACTGCAGAAGGCCGCCCCCAGAGGTAATCAATTGCACTAACTATAGATACAGCAGTACGAGTATTGATAAAGCACCCATCTCAAGAGCTCCTTTATTTTTACCTTTCATCTTGAAGTCCTTATGATATACGGCCCAGCTGATCCTGTCAACAAGCCACCATTTCAGGATTACTACAGGTAATGCTTTCTAACCCCCCCCCCCCCCCCCCCCCCCCCATGGTTCTTCATTTTAAACTTGAGTATTTTTATCTTAATACATAAGAAAGGAGATGACAAGGACTTGAAGAATTACAGGCCGATCAGCTTGTTCTCTGTAGTGTACAAGCTATTTACAAAGGTAATTGTTAACAGAGTAAAAAAAACATTAGAATTCAATCAACCAAAGGAACAAGCAGGATTTCGAACAGGCTACTCAACAATTGACCACATTCATACTGTCAATCAGGTGATAGAGAAATGCTCAGAATATAACCAACCACAATACATAGCCTTCATAGATTTCGAGAAGGCGTTTGATTCAGTAGAAATATCAGCCGTCATGCAGACACTGCGGAATCAGGGCGTAGATGAAGTATATATAAACATTCTGGAAGAAATCTACAGGGGATCAACTGCTACCATAGTGCTTCATAAAGAAAGCAACAGAATACCAATCAAGAAGGGTGTAAGGCAGGGGGACACAATCTCCCCAATGCTATTTACCGCGTGCTTACAGGAGGTTTTCACAAGCGTAGAATGGGAACAGTTAGGGATAAGAGTTAATGGAGAGTACCTTAGTAACCTGCGCTTCGCCGATGACATTGCATTGCTGAGTAACTCAGCTAGGGGACGAATTGCAACTCATGATTACGGAGTTAGACAAGGAGAGTAGAAATGTGGGTCTTAAAATTAATCTGCAGAAAACGAAAGTAATGTACAACCACCTCGGAAAAGAGCAGTGCTTCGAGATAGGTAATAGTGCACTTCAAGTTGTAAAAGACTATGTCTACTTAGGGCAGGTAATAACCGCAGAGCCGAACCATGAGATTGAAGTAACTAGAAGAATAAGAAAAGGGTGGAGCACATTCGGCAAGCACTCTCAAATTATGACAGGTAGATTGCCACTATCCCTCAAAAGGAAGGTATATAACAGCTGTATCTTGCCGGTACTTAGCTACGGAGCAGAAACCTGGAGACTTACAAAGAGGGTTCAGCTTAAATTGAGCACGCTGCGAGCAATGGAAAGAAAAATGGTAGGTGTAACCTTAAGAGGCAAGAAGAGAGCAGAGTGGATTAGGGGACAAACGGGGGTTAAGCATATCATAGTTGAAATAAAGAAGAAGAAATGGACTTGGGCCGCGCATGTAGCACGTAGGCAGGATAACCGCTGGTCATTAAGGGTAATAAACTGGATTCCCAGAGAAGGGAAGCAGGTTAGGGGGAGACAGAAGGTTAGGTGGGCAGATGAGATTAAGAAGTTTGCAGGTATAAATTGGCAGCAGCAAGCACAGGACCGGGTTAACTGGCGGAACATGGGAGAGGCCTTTGTCCTGCAGTGGACCTAGTCAGGCTGATGATGATGATGATTTTTATGTGGTCAATGCCAATTCTTTTTGACACAAGTGGTCCAAGACCTGGCTCTCAAAGTTTCACATTATGCATAAGCAATTTGTTCTTTTTGTTTAGGCTTCTCTCTTACATTGATGAAAGGTTCGAAAATGAAGAGAGGTGGGTCAGAGCACTGCAGAAAGCCGCCCCCAGAGGTAATCAATTGCACTAACTATAGATACAGCAGTATGAGTATTGATAAAGCACCCATCTCAAGAGCTCCTTTATTTTTACCTTTCTCATCTTGAAGTCCTTATGATATACGGCCCAGCTGATCCTGTCAACAAGCCACCATTTCAGGATCACTACAGGTAATTCTTTCTAACCCCCCCCCCCCCCCCATCATGCTTTGCCTATTTATCACTTCATATTTTGAAAGCATTTTTTACTGAAAAAAGAATGTCCACAAACAGCTGTAAATTCAAGTAGGGCTTGTTCATGGCTTAACAAATTGGACGTATACTTGAAGCTATAGCTAGCACATATAAGCTGGGGCATTCATAAGAAAAAAATATGAAGAAAAGAAAGAAAATGAGGCGCTGGAACTACCTTCTGTTCCACATAGGAATACTTTGCATTGTTACCATAATGATAAGTCATTCTGTCTCCTACCTCAGTTAGAGAAGACTGTGCACTTCTGTATGATAGAGCCCTCGAAACCAACACAGTCACTTTCTGACCTTTTCCACTGGCACGTTCCAGAGAATGTAGTAATGATAAGCTGAAGGGATGCGAGTTATTCCTACAAGATTCTCTGAAACACGGGTTTCGACGTTGCGACCTCATAAAAGTTATTTCCGTGCTTTCCGCTTGTAGGAAACTGGTTCCCGGCTCTAGAATTCACATTCTCCAAGAACACGTTGGTCATTACGTGCACCTCGAAGCTCCCAAGGAGGTGGTCGCAGGCTACTTACCATTCCTGGAACACCACGGTGTCAAAACAAAGACCATATCCGTGGCGCTCCCCGACAGGTTGTTGTAGGACAACTTCCATTTTTATACCACCTGAGTGGCACTTTTGCTGTACTGATCCTCTTTTATTCACCTGTTCGTCAGGCTCGGAATGGTACAAATTGTTAATGGTAATCTCATAGCAATGCATTCTACCAGAACTTACTGTGATATTCACCCCTGTGTGCCTTAGACATACCACTTTGCTTGGTCATGTCCTCTTGGATACTCCGATCAGAACAGAGGTCAAAGAGGAATCTCATTGCCCAAGCAATGACAGTAGCCTTCAACATTTTTTTCGTATATTACTCTTTCATGCTGATTTCCAAGTGGCATTTCAAAAGCCTTCTTTAAAGCATCCTAACACTTGAAAAGGAGAGCAGTTCTAAGCAAGTAAGCAGACTATGCACTGAACACGAACATTTGCGTTCTAACTAATATAATTCAATATAATAGCCCCTCTCCTGCTTAGATGAACAAAAAAATCTGCCACTTCATACAGTAAAGCATCAGATGAAGCATAATTATTTAGAAGGTTAATTGTTTGCATTTACACTAGTACTTTATTGCCAAATTTAATCTGTAAAGATGGCATGTACAAAGTGCTGTTACACAAAAACTGTAGTGATGTAGCCAGTGTTCACACAAAAAAAAAATACTTGAAGGACTTTCAATGAAGACGACCATAATTCACTCTGCTACAAATTTTGAGTATGAAGGTGCTCAAAATGTCAGAGGGAAAAGAGCAACCTTTATACTCGTTTGTTAAGGCAGTCATGTAGCTTAACCAGCACAGCCTGAGAGATTTATTCACTAGTGGCCTTCATAAATACTGCCTCAACAAACATTGTTAATATTACTCGGCTCTTACTCTGCATGCCTTATTTCCACTAGGTACGATCATTTGTTATCGAGTACATTTTTATTACTCAGGACCTTGATTATGCATACCTCTAGAACGGGCACACTGATGGGACCTCTTTAATTTTGACTGATGGAAACGAAGTTTTCAAGACTCACGTGGGCTCATATGGAAGAATTGTGCAGACTCATTTTCTTGTCGTAAACACTATAAGCTAAGCTTACCCGCAAGGATGTCCTGCATATGTGCATTTGTCTTGCTTGTCAGTTATTTGTCAGGAAGTGCTGTTAAGTAGTCTGGATTAAAAGAATGCCAAGCCGTAGTTCAATTAAGCTGAAGCTGTGAACACGATACTTTAGGTTCATTAAATTTACCTGTCTGTATTAGTTTTTGTACAAGAATTGAAAGCCAGAATATCAAATATGCTTTTGATAGTCACTGGGTAATATTTGTGTTTTAAATTCACCAATTTATTCCGCTGCCTTTGTGCATTTGTTTTCTAATTTAAGTTGCAACCCAAGCACTCATCTTGCACTCTGCACAATTTTACTTTAGAAAAAAAAAAAATGATCGAAGTGCGCTCTTAACTTTTGATACAAGTATAAAATTAGAACCAAAATGAAGTTGTTTCTTTTAAACATTCCATCCACGAGTACGAATACTATTTTTGTTGCTGCAAAATCAGAGTTGCATGCTTTCTCTGTTGGCTAACAAGTCATAGGGTAAAGTAAGCGGTTACTTCATAATTGGTCCTCTGTGCACTGCAAGATGTGCCCAAATAAAGAAGAATAAGAAGATTGTTTCTTCTCGGTGTATTCATTTATAGACAGCTGAGCCATAATCTGGAACACATCAGAAAGACAGCCTAAGTCACTCGCACCGGTAACCGTAGTTCTCAGACCTAAGGCTGATAAAAAAAAAAAAAACATTCAGCTGTTTATTTAAAAATAATGGTATAAACAGTGGAACTCGTTTGCTGTATATAAACAGTGAAGGGTAGATAGGGTACCAGCTGTTTATTTAAAAATAATGGTATAAACAGTGCAACTCGTTTGCTGTATATAAACAGTGAAAGGTGGATAGGGTACCTATTAAAACTGGCTAAGAATTGTCAATAAAAAAAAATATTGCACAGCAGGATGCAAGTAATGTTGATGTCATTACAAGACAGGAAACCAAGTGTCAGTGGTTCCTCCTCAAATCATACTTGTATATTTCACTCTCTTCTACCATTCAGCAACTTAGTCACGAGAGGTCCCATGTTTCCACAGTGCTACAAAGAAGCATAGCTGCACTGCTGGTACAATTACAATGTCTTCGTGTGCCGTGTATCCATAGTTGAGTACAACCTAAAAATAAGTATAAACTCCACCCGCATCTATCGTCTTCCCAAGCGAAAAAATGCAGTCATGTCTCAGATAAGTGCATTTTTTCATTTTAGTGGCATCAGGCATTTGTAAGTGATTAATGTATTCAATTTTTTTTCCATACAGAGACATGATTGTGTTGTCAAGTTTAGATAGGAAAGTTGAATGTTCTGACAAATTTTATCAAAAATTCTTACATCACTAATTGTCCAAGATAATATTTGAGTCGGAAAAGACAAATTTTCACATTCCAATATGCTTAATAGTGAATAGAAAGCATTTGTTCTTCGTGAGAGAGAGAACCAGATGCTATGACTCTCTTAAAGAGGTGATGGACAAGTACGCGGTGGTTTTGTGGGCAGAGCTTATGTTTATTTTTACGTTACAATTGAGTAGTGTACATTCAGCAGTGACCACAAGAGGTAGCTAATTTCAGATAATACGTTGCTATTAAAGTTCAGCAGCTGCAACACTTACGCATAGGATAGAGATACAAGGAAAGGCAGGGAGGTTGACCAGATTGAAGTCCAGTTGGCAAAGCTTCACAGGAAAATAAGTTAAATAGCAAATGAAAAAAAAAGACACAAGAAAAGAGAGTTATGTACACCAGTGTAAAGACACTGGGTGTCTGTCAGAGTCCTTTCGGGTGCATTGACGTTAGAACGTCGTTAGGGCAGTCGGAGTTTTCTAGATTAGTGAATGAGGTCAAGCTCTAGGGACATTTTACCTTATCCTGTCGGCTGGTCATGCTCTGAAAATCTCGACACTAACGGTTGAGGCGGCTACATCAGCAGAGAAGGTTTGTGCTGTGGTCGCATATAGGCGAGTCAGCTATTTCTATGAACAAATATGAGTTTGCGAAGTCTATGAATCCCAGTCGTAGATGACACAGCAGTGAAGTGGCACAGTGGAATGTCACTGATGGCAATAACGGCAGTAGTGATGCAACAAATGTGCACAAATGGCAATTTTAATGCTCACGAAAGTCTTGGAGAACAGTATGCTGGTGGGGCATGTGCGAACATTGCGCGCATGATGTAGCAGACGAAGATTATTGCAGTCAGTTGCCCTGTTCTATAATCGCCACAAAAAGCGTGTTGCGCAGCACCACTTGCCAAAAACAATCCAGGTGTGGGAACGCATTTATATCGTGTAGCGTTCAATCTGCTTCGTGAGAATACTTGTCTCTTCCTTGATAAATGTAGCCACTGTCTGTGAGCACAAGTCTTTGCCTTCAGGTAGAGGAGCATCGTAGTCGCATAACATGGCTTCCACTAAAGTAAGCACCAACTGACACTCCTGTTCATCGAGTTCGTCTTCACCATATAGAAAGAGCAAACTGTTCCACGCCGATCTGGAAAAGATTAGCAAGTGCGACAGCACACCGTAAAGTTGCAGACCACTTTGATTTCACATTTCACGAGGACAACTGTTAACGGGAAATCCGGGTTGTTTTAATGTACAAGTGTGGCTCACCTCGATGCCTCAGGGTGAGACAGTACTTTCACGGCAATTTTACCATTCCATGTCATTCCTTCCATGGTAAAGCCGCAAGACTCGCTGCAATGCAGGCAATGTAATGCTGACAATTGGAATGGAATGTTTTTGCATTAGCAACTACAAAAATGAAAGAAGTAAATACCTCAAAATATTTCTTTCTTCCAGAAAAGAAAGTTTTGAGGAAAAATTAGGAATCGGTAGTGTCGTCCATGAGTGCAACTTTAACAGGTGCTCTGCAAAAGCAATATTGACATCGACAGTGAATGCAAGTATTTTTCATTGCAAGTACTAAATGGTTCCGGCGGTGATGCAACTGTTTATAACCTCAAAAAAAAGCATTGAAGCTGTAAATACAGCCCTTTGTGAAATTTTCTCACCTCTTGTAATAATGACCAGATCATTTGGGTTGTTGGGAAGCACAAAGCCGTACTCCAGTAACAGTTTCCTGTTGTCGTGTGAGCCATAACTAATGAAAACTTGCTCATTTGGCTGGTAGTTGTTATTTGTTACAATTTCAAAATATGATCCCACAATTGCAGTTTGCACCTACGAGTGAACAAAAGAAGTGAAAGCACAAAAGAAAATGTAAGCCACAATTAAGATCCATTTAAATCGAAGCATTTTTGAAACTGCAAACGATAGTACCGTAACACCTGATAAATTAATCTGGCAACAACTTATCTTTTACAGGAGCATGCAAAGGGAACACTGAACATGTGCAGCATTCACATTTGCCTTTGCTAGTTTTTCATATGGTGATGTTGCTGGATATCTGAATACTGTCATTAACAATGACATATAAATTGCCAAGATGGTAGCATTTGCACTGTTCAGCTGGGAAAAGCAACTCATAAGCAGCAATCATTATATGATATCTTTTTGAGAAATGGATGGTCACATTCAGCATGACTTACGCTGGCCTTCCAATGATGGTTCAAACAGTCCAAAAATGGAGCTAGGGCACACTTGTCATTGTCCCAAAGGAAATTTCCAGTTTTGTGTTCACTAAAAATGCATCGCGTGTTGACAGCGGACCAAGCCCAAACAAACAGACACCACGTAAAGTTCTTTGAAAGGCTAGCAAACAGCGAGTCGACATCTTCGTTTTCCTTTAGCAAAGCCCGCAACTTTAAAAAGGTGCCTCGAATCTTGGACACTTGAGTCTGTGCTTTGCGAAACACGCTGCATGGCAGTTTGGCAAGAAGCTTGCTTCCAAGGTACACAGGTGTCGTGTATGTTGTCGGCAAGCTATTGATGAAGTAACGCCATTCCGAGTCATGTCCTCGGAGTTTTTCATTCATAAGAAAGAGTGTCAACACTTCAATAGGTGTGAGTTTCCTGTGATTCCTGTAAAAAAGACGGAATCGTTGTGCACGTGTCACAACTGAAACAAAGCAGTCAGAAGAGTCACGCTAGCCTAGGAGAAGCGAAATTAGGCAGAACATTACCAACCTGATAACAAAATCATGCAAGCTGCTTGACAAGGCTGTCCCAGTGGTAATCAGGAGGCAAGTAGGCAATCTTAAAAAAGGATCGCCAGCAGACAGCATCTGTTGCGTTGCCAGCCCTCTGCCGGTTTCTGCAAGTACGCAGAAAATACCCAAGTCAACAGAAGTATCCATCTCGCATTCTGCATTTTTTTATCATCAGATATAGACATACTATAGTCCTATAGTCTTTCAAGTAGCCAACTAGAAGTTGCACCAAAGTGACAGCGCGAAAGTGTGATTACAATCTTAAAGGTAAGGTTGCTGTTGCCCTGCTCAATCTTCTTTGAAACCTCATGTAGTGACGCAGAGTCATCGGTATGTCACTGCTTACAAGGATTAACTCATTACGGATAACTCCCTGCATGTAGTCTTACCGCGGAATTCTTTGACATACAACTGCGTGTGCAGTTGGAAGCCTTTTGCGGTCATCCACTTCAAAAGATCCACGCTCACATCTTCGGTGCACGAAACCTGGTCAGCTCTCCGTCTCGCCTTTTTTCTGTGATTGCGTCCCTTCTTAGCCATTTTAATGGATCCTGAGCACTCGATTGATAGTGAGTTGAAGCGACATTACCTGGCATTATTGGAGCATGCGACGCCACGGTATAACGTACGCAACTAGTTTAAATGTTGAAAACAACGACACAAGCACGCCAAACCATGCCATGACGCCGCCATATCGTTCAGTATGTGTTCGGTTTCGTTTTCAGAATGGCCATTTACGTGCGCCTCGATTATTTTGGTAATTAGAATTCACCTCTTAAGTGGGAGTCTCTTCGTCATATATTGCAGCACTGTCACTAGTTTATTAGACTTATTATGCGTTATGCAAGTGCGTTTCTTTGCGATGATTGACTGAAATGAACGTTAGTTCGGAATCAATCCAAGCCGAGTTCGTTGCATGTTCCGTTTCGCTCGCGTGCAGAGAGGGGAAGCGGAGCTCGCGTTCTAGCTTCGGAATTTTCTTTTCCGTGGCACTCCACCGGTTCACCCTCGGCGGGTATGTTTCGCGTTTATGTTTCCATGACACGTGCGAGGGACACCGAAAATCCACCCAGGCACAGGCCCTGACGGCGCGCGCCGAGTGAAACTTGCATGCCCTTTCCTTCGTGTTCGGTTGCCTCCCAAATCGAACGTCGCTGCTGAAACCGAACGTCCGTCGCTGTTGACGTCCATTCATCATGGCTACGTCCGCCGTGGCCATGAAATGGCTGGAACTCCTGGAGAAAGAGTTTGACAGGGCCTACCTGGACTTGGACATTCTTTTGGGAGAGGTTGACGAAGAGCAATGCGACATCACCTACGAAGCCAGGAGGCGAATGTCCGCCCTCAGCAGCGCTTTCGCCCAGCTGTGTCACAAGGCGCAGACTGTGTTCGAAACCAACGAGAAACTGGAGGTGAGTGAACTCATTGCCTCCCATTTCGTCATTTCAGGTAATTTCGAGCACGGAAACGATGTCTTCTTGCTTTCACGCGGGTTCTACGCGCGATCTCTCTCGATCGTTGTGTTGACTTGGCGCTTCGTTACTCGTGTTTTCTTGTTAATCGCACATCCAGATAGTGAACTGACGACGAGGTGCTGCGTTCGTCGCAGCACCAGCATGTGTGCAGTGACAGTAATTTATGTTTTGCAGCGCATAAATTTAAGGTTAGTTGAGGCTATTCAACTATGAATACTAGACTGGTCCACCGTAGAAGTGTTGAACGGCGAGCACATGTTGTATTCATAAATACACGCAACTTTATGAGCTAGACTTCAGCTACCAGTTTGTCATTCGCAAGCCTTGCCTTGCTAATGGGAGCCAGGTCTCACGACAGCAGCCAAGCTGCTTTTCCGGCCTAGCGTCGAGGTGACGTTTTACGTTGAATGAATACGCGTCGACGAATTGATACATGTGTGTGTGCTTTGACTGAGCCAATTGCTCCCGCCTCTGCCTGCTTTATTTATTTGTTTACTGTGGAGCTGCTGTTAGGCTTTGCGTTATGCCGTGTGGCGAAGCCTAGAAGCAACACCGGAAACTATCATCATCATCAACCAGCTCGCGCGCTCTTCGTCCTTTTCTGCTTCGCTCCCAGAACATGTGCGCCGGTTCGTCCGGTGTTGGATGCAGTATCTTTGATGAGTATAGAGAGAAAGAAAGAGGATCAAAGGAGTAGAAAGGGTCAGAGAAACACAAAGAGAGCAAGCATAACCATGCATGTTAGTATTTAGTGGGAAGGCCCGCCGCGGTGGTCTAGTGGCTAAGGTACTCGGCTGCTGACCCGCAGGTCGCGGGTTCGAATCCCGGCTGCGGCGGCTGCATTTCCGATGGAGGCGGAAATGTTGTAGGCCCGTGTGCTCAGATTTGGGTGCACGTTAAAGAACCCCTGGTGGTCGAAATCTCCGGAGCCCTCCACTACGGCGTCTCTCATAATCATCAGTGGTTTTGGGACGAGTGGGAAAGAGAAGTGGAGGTGAGAAGGTGCAGAAAGGGTGAGGAGGATGCCAACGCCGCCAGCTCCGCTGCGTTCTCAGTTTTCGCACCACTGGTGCGTATAGCTGCCCCATTTGATAGATGCGAAGCAGCTCTTTGACTAGCCTGTGTAACGCTGTCCCTCCGTACACCATCACTGCGCATGCTCGCGTCTCGTGCCGGCCCAAGAAGCAGTAATTCGTGCAGGAAACACCCCTCAAAAATGTCGCTTCCCTCCCCCACTCTCGCCTCGCAAGGCTTATTTATGCAGGCAGCGTCTGCTAGTAAAAAAAAAAAGTGCCGCCATATCCACGAAGTGAATGATGATGAGTGGGCGAAGCTCCGGAGGTAAACCTGGTAAACCATGAATCCTCTGTACATTTTGCCCACTCGATTTTATTACATCGCTCCCCCTAGCGTACGTCGCCGAACTAAATCGAACGATTGCCTTCAACCAATGACACGCGCCATATGTGACATCATTCCTATTTTATAAGATCTCGCGTCTTTCATCAACTACAAGTACCGCTTTCTAGTTTATAACATCTTGCATCTTTTCATCATCAGCTACAAGTACCACCATCTAGTAAATACTACAAGAACTAAACGAGAGGTGGCTACATACAGGAGACGGTACCGCCATCTAGTGAACACTGCAAGAACTAAACTAGAGGTGGCTACATACAGGGGACGGTACCGCCATCTAGTGAACACTGCAAGAACTAAACTAGAGGTGGCTACATACAGGGGACGCACAGCCCACGCCCTAAGGAGCTTCGCCCCTAAAAAACGACTGCAAGACCTTCTAGCCGACACCTAGGCGGGAGCCGAGCCCACTAACACGCCGATAACAAAATAAAGTTTATTCCTCCTCCTCCTGCTCGCGCTGCACAACCGTTCACTGACCACTCCGTATATGTATAGGCGCGCATTCGGAATTCAGTCATGGGCGTCTTTGTTTTTGCTTTATGTGCGCCAGCGTCACCGCCAGTGTAAGCGTTAGCGCGCGCTGATTCGCATCTGCACATGGTTCTCTTTAGCGGTAGATGATCTAATTTTTTTCTTCTTTTTTTGCCTTCTAATGAGGTGCCGCTATCACCGTTAAAAGTGTGTGTAAACATTATTACACTAAGATGAACTCACTACAGCATAAGGTAAACGTCTGAGCGCTACAAGAAAACGAAATCGACGTAGTAAGAAGGACACGGGAATACACAAGCGCGCCAGATTTCGCGCTTGTGTTTTCCCGTGTCGTTCTTTTCTACATGAATGCCGTTTACATGTAGCGCGCAAAAGTTTACATTATGCACACCCAACTAGACCCTACCCTGGCTCTTCTATACCGCATAACCTTTTGGGGGCTTACTAGAAACGCCCTTTGTCTGGCAGTGCTTTGGCTGCCAACTGGTGCCTGTTATTTCAGAACCGAATCGCGTATAATCGGCTACGTGCATGATGTCTCAGAATCGGCCGGCCTTTCAGATATGGCTGAAATGCTCCGTAAGCTATCAAAGATCTGCGTGGCTGGGCTTTTTATAGTGTGTGTTTCAGGATCTAGAGCGCTCTTCTTAGCTGACCGTAAAAAATCGATTGATTTAATAGATTAAAAAAAATTTCGTGTTGCTAAATGCCGTCGAGACGCTTGAATAGTCGAAGCTACAATACGTATGTGGTAGTCAGGTGTGGCAACATTTAGATCATCTGGCAGCCATTAAATCAGAATTTAAGGACACTGAAGAGAAAGATTTTTCGCTGACGAGTAAAATATACTTTCACCTTACTAAAGCACCGCTGTTACCGCGAGGAGATTTCATGAGAGCGTAAACGCCCCCCCCCCCCCCCCAAAAAAAAATGCGGATGGCGACGTCACCTTGAAGTTCTCGCACCAGCTCGACGTGACGTCACAGATTTCAACGGCGTCTGATAGGTTGCGTAATTTGCTTATCGGTGGAAAGAAAAATTGATCTGTGTTTTAAGGGAAGCAGAGACATCATGGCAAGTTTCGGAAAATTTTATTGAGCCGTTAGGGTCGAAATATGGGAAAAGACTCGAAATTCGCGACGCCACGCCGCCATTCGGGTGACGTTATTCCGACGTTAAATTTTAAAAATTGGAACTTTGACCCTCACTTTCTGTTCTCGTAATGCAGCCGTCATCGCGAAATTACCGGTAGTAGAGTTCTCGAAGAAAATAACTAGTTTCATTTCTCTTGCTTATAAAAGCAACAACGATGCGTATGCATAGCTTGCGTTATTGCGCGCGCCGCAGAAAATCTACGCGACCACACATGCGCGTTGGAACACGTCAGCGCGCGCTGACGTGTTCCAACGCGCATGTGTGGTCGCGGCTTCGAAGCTCGCTTGAGAAGGGCCTTGCATGCGCTTTTCGCTCTCCTGAGCGTCTGTGTGACGGAAACGGCGACAGGTTCGTTCGAAACCTTTAAGCGTGTACGCAGACAACGTTCAGGGATTGACGGCCGAACATCGCGAAGCTTGCCTCGTTTAAAAACGGTTCGATACTCCGATTACCGAAATTTTATCCATTTCCAAAGAGATCATCCCGCATGACTTAACTAGGTCAACTATAGCGCGAAACGTTCGAGATGGTTGCAAGGACTGAAACGGCGCCTGCGTAGATCTCGATACTTTGTCTTTGCATGTGCCGTCATTCTTCCACGTGATCTAGATATTTTGCCATCTGAACATGCCTTCTTTCGAGGCCTTCCTTGGACAGCTATAACATTCGTGTCGAAGCCACACATTTATTGTATTCTCTTTGCGAAGAAGCTGTGATTTACGAATAAGGATATGTGGTGCAAAAAAAAAAGAGAAAAATGTGGAACTGGAAGGGCCCACGTCGGTTCCTTGCGTCTTCGATCAAATTTTACCTTGCATCACATATTATTCGTAAACTTCGCCCCAACACAGTACTCTATAATAACATCAAATTTATTTTGAGTTGCAGGCATCACAGCTTTCCGTTTTCTTTGTCCATTTCGTTTTCGCTGCGCGCTCAAAAGTATTGTGCGTGCCAAACACGTGGTCCAGTAGCACGTGCCCACTTTTCCCGATTCTTTGCGCGCGTCTACTCACGCTGTACTTGCGTGTGCATTCTGATAACACCGGATAACCTTTACCGCCACTCAGCAGTCATTCCTTGTGTAGTGGCGACGATGGGTACCGGCACAAACGTCCGTAAACGCGACCAAGCCTAACACCGAGTCTTGTCGCCGTCTATTTGAGTGTCTCGTCGTGATAGTCGTAGTCCTGCGTTGCCGCTGATGCCGCAACGCCACTGGCGCCGCTCGAGCTGTACCGAGTCCTGCTGTCGGTGGAAGGCGCTGTCTTGGCCGAAGGCGATGGAAGCGGCGTCGTAGCCACCATCACGGCAGCAGGGGACGCGCCGGACGACGGCTGTTCCTTGCAGTCGGACCGGCGGTCGCCAATCAGTTTGCGCACCTCCGCGAGCGTCGTGTTGCCCGCCGCGAATACCGCGCTCACCGCACGCCTGAGGAGCGCCTCGACCTCGTGGCTGTGATCTTGGAGCTCGTCGCTGATGCGCTGCGCGTCTCCCAGGGAGCGGTTGCGCATTTCGAGGATGATGCGCTCGAGCAAGTCGTACAGCTGCACCTCTTCCTCCTGGATTCGGTGGCAGGACGAGATGAACGAGTTCTGCGCCACGAGCAGCGTGGCGAAGCTCTGGTCCACCGTGGCGCCCAGTTCGTCGATGCGCTTCTCGAGCCCCTCGCTGAGGAAGCTGAGCCGCGGTTCGATCAGCGGCAGCGGCTCGATCTGTTCGTGCAGCTTGCGGAACTCCTCGCGCACCAGGACGCGGGTGCGGTTGCCCTGCTCCACGGTGTCCTGCAGGGCGCCCTGCCGCAGCTTTTCGGTGGTGCGTCGCAGCTCGTAGATGCCGTTGATGACCTTGCGCGTGTAGCTCTCCACGTCCTGGTCGATTTCGCGCAGCTGCTCGCCGCCCACGTGCACCATCTTCTCGACCAGCTCGGTCAGGTTAGTCACCTGCAGGCCAGGGTATTTCTTACGTTACGTGCGCCATGTAAACCCTATGCACCTCTAGTGGAGTATATACTACACGCTCTATAGTTGGGTATACCTAGCCGGGAAGTTATCGGGAAGGAGAACAGAGGTGCGCTATATGGCGCTCGCTACAAGAGCGCCAACAGTCTCCTTACTCAACGGAGATGGGGAGTATACACATCGGGAATAAAAGGAAGTGCTGGGACAACCCCAAACATCCTCGACTTCGCCTATGTTGCTGAAGCCTAACTGGTGCTTCTTTCGTAAGGGTTGCAGAAAATAACAGCCCTTCCTTCTTTAATTAACCATTCGCTCTCTCTCAGAATAAGGAAGAGATGAATATATGATAAATCATGGCGTGCACTCGCCTGTTCCCAGCCGGGCGCATCGGCCGACATCGCCTGGCAGGACGATGCCGCCTGCTGCGTGGCGTTCCCCTGCTGCTGCAGCGCGCGTAGCATGTTGTTCGCCGTGAGCATCTCGTTGCTGAACAGGTCCATCTTGGCGTCGGCCCGCTTTATGACGTCGGCCACGTCGACGCGCAGCACCGTGGCCGTCTGTCGTTGCGCGTTGTCTGCACGCTCCGCCGTTTCGGCCAACCGCGACAAGTCCGCCTGGAGCCTCGCGCGGACCTCGTCTCCGCGAGCCATTTTCTTGAGTACGTCGTCCGAGGCGTCCTGCAAGTCGCGCTCGAGCAGCTCCAGCTTGTTTGCCAGCCGGTCGGTGCGTACGTCCAGCTTATCCTCCAGGATGGACAGCCTGCGCGTGGGGACACAGAAATGGGCTGACAACGGATGGAAAGATTGTCTGTCCCTCATAGCGACTCAAACGAACCCTGTTTTTCTCGTGAAAGGTGGAGTTATATTTTTATTTCTTGATTGAAACTAGTGCACGCGGTCAACAATTTTCCTGTTATAGTATTTAAATGTTGTTAAATATATTACTCCATAAAAATGTACATATAAGTCTGCGTTATTAGTACGCACTAAAAGTGGCGCTGCATTCGCATGACGTAATGATCCCATGCTCGTCAAACCGTGCACGCAGTTTCCGGGTAGCTATAGGATTTTAGAGCGACGTGGTTTTTCTGCCTACGATTTCTCTCGGAAATTACGTGTATGCGAGTCGCATACACGTAATGACGTTTCCGGTGACTTGGCTTTAATCGTAATGACGATGGGACAAGCCATATACGACTGCGACACAGGCGCAACCAACGTGTATGGAACAAGGTTTATTGAACAGGTTCAATGCCGATAACCTTGAGCGCAGGGGCTCGCAACGTGGTATCAATACGGATAAGCTGCATAAAGCTACATCGTCTCATTGTAACGGCTTGTTATTTTCAAAAAATAGTTGCAAAGCCCAGAATAAACGTGGTTAAGCCTGGTTACAGCAAATCCTGCGAAAGCACGACGACAACAGCCTGCACTATAGTCGCCATGCAGGAAGGCCACCGGCGTCGCTGTCAACTCTTGGCGTTGCTGCATGAAAGGGCTCATCCGTTTTCAGAGCCTTTCATGCAAAGAATATACTGCTCATAAAATAACTATACGTGCTTTTGGGATTAACTATACTGCGGCTACGAACACTACGGAGGGTAAGCCGCGCCGAAGAAAAAACTGGGTCGAAAAAGTTCAGTCGTCGGTCCCTTTAATTGGTGACGCCATTATTGGGCTGCTCGATATATCTATCAACTTGCCGCCGGTCGTCGTGTACAACCTCGGAGGTTGAGGGGTCGTATCCCACCGGCTTCCGGCCGTCTTTCGTTACATTTTCGATTCCCGTTGCTCCCGCGATTACCAGACCTGCAGAATCTGCAGGAGCGAACCTATGGAACCTGCAGAAGCGATGCAAGGGCCCTAGCGATATGTTATCAAAATTTCAGCATTTACCCGCAAGCACGCATCAGCACACTCCTCCAGTCTACAAATAACTCCCGCTATGCTTTCTTTAGCTTCATTATCTCAATGTGTAGGCTAGTCGCTTGCGCACAACTTCACGGATCTCTCGAATGCCTTCACAAAGCGGATTTATAAAGAAAATGAAATATTCGAGGTGTTATGCATATCACGCAGATGATCACGCGCTGTTCGTTCAATATTATCTGAAGAATTCGACTTGTTCCCGACGTTCGGGCGAGCTATGCGTGATCAGCGATTCATGCTTTGTTATGCTGCAGTGATAGGCGGTACGGAGGTCTAGAGGTAAAGGAGGATGGCGCAACCCCCCTGCCATCCCTGAAATTTCACAATTTCCTATGCAGAAGCAATAATTTACAGTTCGATCAGAAAAGTCAGGTTCCGCGCATCCTGTAAAACGGCCTTCATGATGTTTTCAGACAACTTTTGCGCGTTACGTACTTATATTCTACAGTGATCTCACGGCAGTGAAAGAAAGGCTGCCTGCGGGCTGGATGCCTTTCTTTCCTACCCTGCGGATGCAACCCCCTGCAAGATGTTCTGCAAACGCCCTTGATAGGCGTCAGTGAAGCGCGCAAGCAATACGGTTCTGCGATAGGACATTTTTGTGTGTGGGCGTGTGTGCTTGTGGCGCAGTTTAGTTTTTGTTAACAAGGACCTCACTTGTTGTTCAGCTTGTCGGAAAGCATGTCGAATCGGCGGCTCAGATGGAAGGCATCCGCGGCCCCTTGCTGCTGCTGCTGTGACGACGATGCGGCGTCTTTTCCGCGACCGCTGAGCGCATCCTCGACTTTCTCTAGTCTCACGTCGAGTTTGGCCTCCAGCCTACCCAGTCGGCTGTCGAAGGATTCCAGCTTGCGTAGCACTTGTTCCAGCGACAAGTCGAGTCTGGTCAGCTGACGCGCCGACCCGAAGGCGTCCAGGCCTCGCAACCGGTCGTCGATGGACGTCAGCACCTGGACCGCGCATAGAACGAAGAATGCGCTCAAGACTGGGTTTGCTAAAACACGTTGGTTTGCATCTATGAATTGTGAGTAAGCGCGGACAAGGACGTAGAAGATAACCAACACGAACAGAGAGCTACTTTCAACCGATTTTCGCACGAACCAATAAATATATGCCGAGCGAGTGGAAATAGCAGAGACAAAAAGAACGTTTTGTGGATTCATTGAAGCGAGCACGTAGTGCGATGCACTATCGCGACATAGGAAAAAAAAATCATGGATGTGGAGTCCAAGGGAGGTTATGCAGGCGAGTGAAGTTGCGAGATCAGCAAGCACGGGCATTAGCCACCCTTCCATACCGCTTTCTCAAAAAAAATTACGGCATATTCACGGGGTGAATGATGATGAATGGGCGAAGCTCCGGAGGGATTCATCGGTAAACTGTGAATCTTCCGTGTAATTCGCCCAGTCGATCATCATGTAAACACGTGAGAAACGCTGTGTGCGCGCGCTGCTGCCGCCTTGCGCTCTCTCCGCTGTGCAGCCTTATCCATCCGGCGACTCCGAGCGCGCGCCAACAGCGAACGGATTTTATTACAACGCTCCCCCTAGCGTATGTCGCCGCACTAAATCGAACGTTTGCCTTCAACCAATGACACGCGCCATATGTGACATCATTCCTATTTTATAAGATCTCGCGTCTTTCATCAACTACAAGTACCGCTTTCTAGTTTATAACATCTTGCATCTTTTCATCATCAGCTACAAGTACCACCATCTAGTAAACACTTGAAGAACTAAACGAGAGGTGGCTACATACAGGAGACGGTACCGCCATCTAGTGAACACTGCAAGAACTAAACTAGAGGTGGCTACATACAGGCTACAGGGGACGCACAGCCCACGCCCTAAGGAGCTTCGCCCCTAAAAGAGTTTCAATACCTAGATTTGTCGCAGTGTTGTGAATTTTTTGCTATGTCGTTAGTGCATTGTACGCATGCTCTGCTCAACGATGTGAACCTACAAAACGCCCTTTTGTTCTTGCTTTTCCGCTCGCTAGGTATACATTTATCGGTTCGAACGAAAATAAAAGATCAGTTGAAAGTAGCGCTCTGTGCCAGTTCTCTTCTACATCCTTGTCTGTTCGCGCTTATTTACAATTCATGCGATCAGATTTGGGTGCACGCTAAAGAACCCCAGGTGGTCGAAATTTCCGGAGCCCTCCACTACGGCGTCTCTCATGATCATATGGTGGTTTTGGTACGTTAAACCCCCACATATCAATCGATATCAACACTTCATGCGAGACTGGCCGTGACGCTGTTTCGCTGAAGTTCCATCCGTGAATAAACTCCACCATGCAGGAACACGAAATCCATAATCGCGCAGTGAAGGCGACAGTTATAGTTACACCGTGCAGGAACGCATTTTAAAACGGGTCGCAAAGGCCTGACCACACGCACCCATCGCAGCGCGTTGCCTTTGACACGCGGCGCCGCACTCTCTCTGATGGCGCCGCGTCAGAAAGCAACGCTCTGCGACGGGTACATGCCTGACCACACGTTGCCGTTGCAGCGCGTCTTTACGACGCGTCTCCGGACCCTCTCCCATATGGAGAGCGAGAGCACGCAGCTTCGCGTAGCCACGCGCCCTCTCTCTTTATGGGGAAAGGGCACGGCGCCGCGTCGAAAAGCCACGCGCTGCAACGGCTACGTGTGGTCAGGTCTTAACGGGGTTATCATGCTTTTACTGCAAAGGGGAAAGGTAAAGCGAGGCGTGAAAAATTAGTTTAGTCGTGCAAGGTGGGCGTGTTTCTGTACTGAGCTGCTGTGGAAAGATGGAGGGGGGATTTCCATAGCCGCGGTCCTTTTTTTTTTTTTTGCACTAGTGGTGCCAGCCCTGAAGGAAGAGCGCGAGCTGTGTGGCCTGCGTTGTTTGCCGTTGCTTTTCTCTTTGTTTCTGTTTCTGGTATTTCATTCATGTATCTGTTTCTATTTACCTCATTTGCTCGATCTTTCTATTCTCACTCTCTCTGTTTATCGCTTCCTCCTCCTCTCTGTTTATTTTTCCTTCTTTCCGTTCGTTCTGTTTTTCTTTTTTTCTCCTATTTCTTTCTGTTTGTATATTTGTGTCTTTATTGCCTTTATTCCAAAGTATACTTTTTCTCTGCCTTTAGTTTACTCTAACTCCATTTCTCTTGTCACACCCTCACCTGCTGTTCTCGATAATCGGGCTTGCCAGATTTATGTGGCGCCCACATGTCCGGTAAATTTTTTTTCGCTCAGGGCAGATACGCAGTTCCGCTCTTGAAACGGAGTGATGAAGTGCTTCTCGCAAGTGCCTGCATTTGCTCCCCGGCTTTCGGGGGGGGGGGGGATAAAATAGTGAAGTAAACGGTTCTTGAAATGCATCGCAAAGGGCCCCCGCTGATGCTGTCGTTCAAGCCTGCACAGTCAACCCTGCGCTTCAAACGATGGTGCAGGTCCGCGTGAGTAAAGCTGTGGGACAGACCTACTGCCACAATTTATTAGGGAAGCCACCCCCGTGCGCGCTCTTATGGGCTTAGAAGTGTGGCAGCTTTGGCTAGTTGCTATGACATGACGAAAGTTATAGCGCGAGAACACAACGACGACAAAGAGACAAGAAGTCCTTCGTGTCCTTTGTCATCGTTCTGGCCCCGCAGCGGTGGTCTATAGTGGCTAAGGTACTCGGCTGCTGACCCGCACAATCTCTGACAATGATCCACGATCAGAGAAGACCGGCTGCTGATCGTAGGTCGCGTGATCGAATCCTGGCTGCGGCGGCTGCATTTCCAATGAAGGCGGAAATGCTGTATGCCCGTGTGCTCAGATTTGGGTGCACGTTAAAGAACCCCAGGTGGTCGAAATTTCCGGAGCCCTCCACTACGGTGTCTCTCATAATCATATGGTGGTTTTGGGACGTTAAACCCCACATATCAATCAATCATGTCATTGTTATGTTCTCGTGCTATAACTATCATCATTTATTATGGACGTTGCGTCAAGATATCTCCTGGAAGTATTGTGTGTAGATAGCCTGTGGAACTCTGAAACATGCAGTCTTCGGCAGAGAATGGAGCGAGGGCCCTCAGCTCCACCTTCCCCGTTCTTTTCATGCTAACTAGCAGGAGGAGCTGCAAAAGATGGCGCAGTTTGCTTGTGCGTGTGGTGTGCTTTCGGTCATTAATCTGGCGGATCTTTCGCGGCTCCCTGCAAGTCGTTCTGTCTTCAATTCGGACGCAGTTCTTGCCGCGGAGTTGCACGCGTGAATGGAAGGACATCGCGCGCGTTGGCCAGTTCCTCGTAGTCTTGATTGCGAAATGTTGCAGTTTCACAACGATAAAAACGCGTCGCGGCTCACATGTTTCTTGCCGAGATAAGGAGCGAGGAAGGAAGCGAAACTAAAGTAGCTAGCTTGCAGTAAAGGTGGATTATTGGCATGCGGTCGCTGGAATACAAATGCTATAGCTGTTAAAGGTATCACTGCGGCATACGGCAAGCCCTGGCGCCCCGTGCTCTCTATCTTGAGGCCTGCAATGTCAGGATAGCCACAGGAACTGTACACGACTGAATTGTAATATGGAAACGTTCACTTAGACCCCGCAACATGTGACGTTCAAAATCTTGCGCATCGCCGGGTCCTCAATGGCGTCCTGTACACACGGATCTCGTATAATGACTCAGCAGGCTCTAAGTCGTCAGTTTAATTGAGTACTCGAATTTTATGCGCTGTAATATCAAATATTAATCGAGTATTGTGGTTATCGTTCGAACCTTGAAAAAACTTTCGCGCGTGTGGTCAGACCTGTCGTCTGGCCACGTATGTCTCGGGGTAACGTATAAAGTTCACAATTTCGGCGATTGCGTGGGGCTGAGATGAAGTTTACAATCTTGACACGCTACAGAAGTTATGTCAAAGCACCTGTTGACAGATAGGGCTGTTCACTATTGGTAAGCCTACCTCAAAGAGGCTGTCTTTCTGTCGCTTATCCAGTGCGTCTGCTGCGAGTTCAGAAGTGTACCGGGTAGCAAGCCTTTAGCTTTCGCACAGGCGCAGTAACTTAGAAGTGTGGCAGCTTGGGCTAATTGGTATGACATTACGACAGTTATAGCGCGAGAACAGAACGACGACGCAGAGACAAGTCATTCGTGTCCTTCTTGTCTCTGCGTCGTCGTTCTATTCTCGCCCCATAACTATCGTCAGGAGCAGTAAGTCTACCGGTTATCCTGTGCTAGTTTTGAAGTCCACATACAAGATCAAAAGCATGCGCCGGCCAGAGCACAGAGAAAAAAACGCGGCCATTCGGTGCTTGTCCCGTGGTCCTCACCTGTTTGAGGTACGGAGGAACACTGTGCCACAGATCGGGGCTCAAGTCCAGGCCTTTCGGATTCGCCGGCGCCTGTTCTGGAGGTCTGTTCGTCGTGGCTTCTCGCCGGCTTCTTTCGTGCAGAGGCTGCCCGTAGTCGGAGGCCCACCCCGCCGCCACGGCAGCGGCATCGCCTTTCGGGAGGGGACACGTCGTCGCGTACACCAGGAGCACTGTAACCACCACTGTCGGGTCGCGCATCTTGCCCGTAGGTTATATGAAAGCGGCCGCTGCACTGCGCGGGCCTCGCGTCTTCGCTGGCGTTGGGTGCCGACCCTATCGTACAACGTCGTCTGCTAGGAATCCGTTTCGCCCGTGCTTGTTTTTCTTTTTGCCCGACTTCAGTCGGCTGGCTTGTGATTGTGCCTCTGCTGCGGGGGTGGAGTAGCGCGGACGAGGGAGGAGGTCGCGTAAAATGAGAGACAAGCCGCGCAAGGGAGCAGGCGTCTTGCGCTTGCGTGTTGGCCGCCTTGTAATCGCCCCGTGGCTCGGGTGTGTAGCTCGGGCATACGTCCTAGTACAGTCAAAAGCGAGTCTTCCCGAGTCCGCTGGGCGAATGGTGTGCCATATCTGGACAGCCGCCACGTTTGGAAGTGTCCGTGACCGCAGTTGCGATGTGCTTGTGTAGTGCCGACTCATTTGCTCCTTCGTTAGACCAAAAAAGACACTTTCTCTAGATGTGCGGCTTCACTTACACTAACGAGGACGCGTTGCTGACTTCTCGTCCCGTCGTTGTGTCCCTTGGAAAAACTGCTTAGCAAAAGTTTTCACGGCCGTCGTTGGACAGCGGCTCCAGTTGCGGCAGCCGAGTGGCGCGTACTCGGCATGCAACGCTAGGCCCCGTCTGGTAATCTCTTCGAAGCTGGAGAGATGGACGCTCGCGCGGTATTTTTTCTCTGAAGTCGCCGCGGCGCAGACAGAAGTGCGCCGCGGCCTGCTTTTCGTCAGGGAGGACAGCATCGCGACGGGGCTAAGCGGGGAAGGACGAGGGGATTGTGGGGAAGGGGCAGGGTCTGTGTGGCCCACCCACCGCGAGCTCACTACAGTATCGCCGCCCTTGAATTCGTCGCGCTTGTCTCTCCCGTTTAAAAGCCCAACCCTTTGAGCAGCGGGAACGTGGCTTTGTGACGGAGGCGGTGCTCCGATCGCTACGTTTCTCTTGGCCTTGAATACAGCGTCATAGGTTTGTGTTTGTGAATGATGTGCGCTACTTGGTGGTTATGGCAATCGATGGAGATGCGGAGATGATGTGGACGCAAGTCTGGGTTGTTTTCATAGTGCAGGTATGCTTGAAAAGAACGCTAAATTGGAACAATTGATCGGTGTGTAGATCGATAAATTGCACTCTTACTCTGTGTGTTGAAACGGAACGAAAACTAAAATTAAACGATATTTTTTTTTTTCACTGGAACGAAAACGTAATCAACACGTCATCTAATATTTCGTTCCCGAGTGAAACCGAATTTTATTCGAATAGTATTTCTGTTCATGAAAAAAATGGCAATCCGGAACAACGGAGGTTATGCAACGTGAGCAGTGGTGCGCGGATATCTCCGGTTATCTTATCGACGTGCATCTCCGGGCAGGAATTTCAAAGTAAAGTTGTGTTGCAACTGTGAGAAAACCGAAAGCAGTGGCAACCGGAGATGTTTATAGATAACCCAAGTGGCTTTCATGTGCCTGTCGCCCTGGTCAACGTGGAGAAAGCATTCTCAGCACTGGTTTGTTTTATCAGTTCAGCGGTCTCGTAAATAAGAGAGTACTCGATGACTTGTTGCTTCATAGATCATGCTTACTCCTGTGACGCAAAGCGTTCAACTCCCTAAAACATTTGTTATTAACTTCTGAAAAATAAATGAATACTTTGACACACACAGAGAGAGAAACAACTTTATTGACGGCATAGCGAGGTCGGTAAGTTTAATTTGCCGGTGGTTCGAAGGGTGGTGGCCAAAAGGTTGCCCCGACCGTTTCGGCCCACTTAACCACTTCTGTCTGGAGACGGTAGTCAGCTGACGACAGGAGTGACTCCAACGCCTCGAGGGAGGAAGCTGCCAGTATTGTTCTTGGTGGGATATTACCCTCGCATTCCCAAAGAATGTGATTTGGGTAGCTTTCGCGCAGCTGCAATGTTGACACTTTGGTGTAATATTTTCCGGATAAATTTCAGACAGCCGATATAGGGGCTGGGAAAACAATTTGTTCCGATTGGCCTCCAGATTGTGGCCTGTTCCCTTGACATAATTGCATGCGGGGCCGCGTATGTCTTGCGGTTCTCTCGGTAATGCGCTGTGGTTTTATTATACGCGGTGATCCCTTCCTGCGAGATGTCCAGGGTGGAGGGGTCTACGTCCCGGTCGATTAAACCTGAGACAACGTAGGTACTGCGTATCTCTGGGTGGACTATACAAATTTAAAACGCCTCATTCCCTGAATTCCCCGCGTGAGCAGGGGCACCCATATAAGGTGTGTTATATTGTTTCGTTTCTTATTTTTGTTGTCCGCGATCGGGCCCAACGCAGCCTATCGGAAAATTCATGAGCGCCCTTTTTCGAATAACTCAGAATGGAATTGATAGCCGGAATTGAGGTGGCCATTGCGATGTCGACTTCTTCTGCCTCTAATGCTGAGGTCGTTTTTTACGGTGACTGCAGTAATAAGTCTCCCATGGCCGGTTACCGCGCATATGGTGTAACGGTCTGTCGCTTGTCGAGCGGCGTCAACATACAGAACGTTTGGGCGATCCTGAAATTGTTTTGCGAGGTTTTCTGCTCTTGCCTTCCGTCTCTTGTCATGTATTCCTGCCAGCAAATTTTTGGGCAGGGGTTTATTTATGTCTTCTCGAGTTGCCGCTGGCGGGAAAACCCTGTTGTTGAGCGTACAACTAGTGCGTCGTCCGAGACGGTTGAGTATGTGCAAGCCTGCTTTGGTTCGTGATAGCCTTTCTTCTTGGTCCGTTAAATTCCCTTCGATTAGTTCCTCCACTGTGTTGTGGATACCAAGGCGCGGTAGGTTTTTCTGTGCTTGCTTATCTGGCAAACCTAGAGCATGTTTATAAGTTTGTCTAATTAGGGAGTTTAGTTTTTCCGCATCCCTCTTTCTCAGTTGGTAGTAGGGGAATGCGTAGGTAACCCGACTGATTACAAAAGCGTGGATTAACCTGCATAGGTCGGATTCCTTCATTCCCTGGTTTTTCGTTGCCACTCTCCTTAGAAGCTATAGTCGTTTGCTGTATACGGATGCCTGTAACTTGCTGAGAGCTTCTGTGTTATGAGTGTTATGCTGGATGAGCATTCCTGAAACCCTGCTTGTGTGAACAGTGGGGACAACGTTCCCATTTACTGTGATATCGATTGCGGAGCGCGCTCCACTGTAGGAGTCATCCTTTTTGTTTTTGGTTCTGATTACTAAGAGCTCGGATGTGTTGGGAGAACAACTAAGGCCCACTTTCTGTGCGTATTCCTGTACAGTGTCAGCGGCTGTTTGCAGCGCGTCACAGATTAGCCCGTCTGAGCTTGTGCAGGTCCACATGGTGATATCATTAGCATACAGTGAGTGCCTAATGTGTGGTGTCTGATCCAAGAGAACGGGCAGGCCACGCATCGTAATGTTAAAGAGGAATGTTGATAACACGGCTCCTTGTGGAGCGCCCCGTGTTCCAAGGGTGATTTTGTCGCTTTTGAGGTCGCCGATGGTTAGCTCAGCCGTGCGTTCATGCAGGAAAGTTCTGGTATAATTGCAAGTGTGACTACCGACGTTCGTTTGGGCCAGGTTGTCCAGTACAGCAGCATGGGATACATCAAATGCTTTAGTGATATCCAGGCCCAGGATGGTCCTGGCAGCCGCTGTGTGTCTAGGATTTAATATATCATTGTGAAGTTGCAGCATTATATCCTGTGTGGATAACTGCTGGCTAAATCGCACCATCGTGGGGGGTAGCAGGTCACTCGACTCCGCATAAGCTGTTAGTCGTCGTAGAACTGCGTGTTCCATCATGTTCCTTGATGGCATGATGTAAGGGAAATAGGTCCGAAGATATTTCCATACTCAGTGTCTTGCCTTGGCTTGGGAATAAATATTACTCGAGCATGTTTCCGTAGTGTCCCAGATTCCCTATGTTTGTTCATAAGGTCAGTAATTGCCGTAATAGCCTTATCGTTTAGGTTACGCAGTAATTTATTGGAAAGTTGATCAGTCTCCTGGAGAAGCCGTTGTATGAATACTATTCAAAACAGCACGTATTTCCGCCTCGGTTATAGTATCTCGATCTAGCTCACGGTTAGTATATCCGGAGTAATCAGACGTTTGTGACGAGTCTACTTGTGTGTTCAAATACCTTTTTTTCAATTCTTGCGCTAATTCATGGTTTCAATGGTACCCGTGAATTTGTAAACGAGCTTATGCATTTTATTGCGCGATGTGCTTTTAGTCTGCTCGGGATCCAATAAGTGCCTGAGGAGCTGCCAGGTGTATTTGTTTCCTAGCTGGCCGTTGAGCCTGTCGCATAGCTGATGCCATTGTGTTTGGCCAAGTTTCTTTTTGTACTCTTCGTTCTTCCTGTCAATTTGCTCCAGTCCGTGTTTCAAGTTTCGATTGTGCTTTTGGCGGAGCCATCGGCGATGTAAGCTGGCTTGTGCTTCCCAGAGGTGCACAAGCTTCGAGTCCGGGACGCGGGGCCTCCCCGCTCCGTTGGGGTTGCGCATGTAGCCCGTTTAGCATCATTAGCTGTCGGGGCTCCTGAGGTGGTTGAACCAGTCGTCCTCGGTGGCAGGGGACCCGAAGCTAGCGTTTAGCACGGGACACTGCCACAGCATGTGACTTAAATCGCACCTTGAATTTTGGCATTTGGGGCATTCTGGCCTTGTATCTGGTAGGTATTTTCTGCAGATATAGGGGCTGGGGTAACTGTGCGTTTGCAGCAGTCGAAGCGTTAATTGTTGTGCTTTATTTAGTGCTGATCATTAGTGAGATCAGTAGTCCACTCATTGAGATCTTCTATAGTGGTGGTTGAGCGCTTGTCTCTCGGGAATCGAAAGACATCCCATTTCGTGTGTTTATAGTAGTGAATTTTGTTCTTTTGCAGCCTTTAGTGGGTGCGTTGATGGAAAGCAGATAATGGTCGCTTTCTAAGTGTCGTTCAGTGTTTACCCACGTAACCGTGTAAGCATCTTTAACAAGTGTCAAGTCAAGGGTTGTGTTGCGACTGACGCAATTCCCAATCCTGGTTGGTCGGTTGGGGAGCGTGTGTAGGGTAAGACCCAAGTCCCTAATCGTTTCCCATAGTTTAGTGTCCCTTGCGTCACATTTGAGGTAGTCCCATTTGGTATTTTTAACATTAAGGTCACCCATTATTATCAGCTGTGAGTGACCCGCTATTCTGCTAACTTTTCTTAGAAGTGAGACAGCCCCACCGTGGTGGTCTAGTAGACCTATATAGTGGCTAAGGTACTCGGCTGCTGACCCGCAGGTCGTGGAATCGAATCCCGGCTGCGGCGGCTGCATTTCCGATGGAGGCGGAAATGCTGTAGACCCGTGTGCTCAGATTTGGGTGCACGTTAAAGAACCCCAGGTGGTCAAAATTTGCGGAGCCCTCCACTACGGCGTCTCTCATAATCATATGGTGGTTTTGGGACGTTAAACCCCGCATATCGAAATCATTAGAAGTGAGACAACGTGGGTACTGGTATCTCTGGGTGGACTTTACAA